AATTTCAGCCTGTTGCCCTCACAAAACTATCATATGGCTTCAGACGATTTGTAATATAGTGCTTGAGTCACATGAACCTTTATTATGAAGAATCAATGGTACCGTTGGAGCTTGAAATCCCTTGGTCACCATCCACTTTCATTATACTTTATGAAAAGAATATAGCATGAAAATTCGTCAAAACATTTCCTGTTCTATTTCACAGAAGAAATGAAGTCATCAGAGTTTAGAATAACATGAAAGTGAATAAATAGTGACAGAAATATTATTTTTGGGTGAATTGTTCCTTTAAGTGGTTAAGCTCACCTCATGGTTCTGCTGCTTATGGAATTACAATGGCTTTCGGTTGACAAAGTGCAGGTGCAGGGGTTGTCATCATCACTGCTGACCGGACATCACAGACTGTGGTACAACCAAGCAGTGCTTAAAATTTCATGGGGAAGATGTTTTCTGAACATGAGCTGCCAGGCGGGGAGTCAGGTTGTAGGATAGGAAGCCAGGATCAGGGTGTCTTCTTGAGCAGGAAGTTTATCCTGCATTACATTACATTCGCTGTTGACCTGTAGTCTGAGGCAAACAAACTGCTGCTATAAATAAACACAATAAAAAAAAAGAAAGAAAATCCAGTATGACAAACATGAAAAAGTCAGTGGCACAGAAGTTACCAAAAACCTGTTCTTTGACGTCTGATGCACAAATTGGCAATCGTTTACCTAAATCACTAGGTTTGATCTAATTAGTGGATTTCACACGTTTGAGAGTCTGGGTGCACTTTTAACCAGTCTGCCTGAAAACAAAGTTCTTTACTAGCCTATAACAAAATGTACTTTTAAGAAACATGTATTCAGAGATATTCAGAGTTTTGTTTGTTTGCAATTTATATATCCATTATCACAACTGTGTAATCAACACACTCTCGTGGCAATTCGTAACACTTTTACATTTTGGCGATTTGGTGGCTAATTTTTTAAGTATACAAATTCAAATCTGTTCTTATTTTAGAGAGACTTGCTTTGCTAATGCTAATTGTGCTAGCATTCTGTTTTCTCAACCGCATGCTTGTCTGTTATGATGACATCAGTGATTTCAGAATTCCCTGCCTCAAATTGTGTAAAAATAAACTGCGGTTGGTTGCATGATTTGCATGTCGGTTGGATGATCTCTTCCTGTTTTTGCAGATGGTACCTAGCCAGAATAAGCTTTCAGGCAAACCACAACATATGTCAATAATCACAAGTCTGGTCACATGAGACTAACGATAGACCAGTCAACAAAATTCCAGAAAACAATATTCTAAATGCAATTGTCAGCTTAATAACCTTAGTATTTGATAGTGCAGCTATACTCCAGGAAAGAGGTTTGGAGATTAATCATCAGTCAGATGAGTGTTTCTCTCAATCATTCTGGGTAATCAATCCTTCTGTTTGCTCTAGCTAGATATAGTATCAGTGAGTCATATTGTAAGAATGTTGTCACCTGACTAAAAGTATGTTTGGACAGCTTCTGTCAGACAATGTTTTATCCAATTCCATCCTCACACCACAATAAAGTAGCAATCTCCTCCATGTTGGTTGGCACCAACAGCCCCTTATTTTCACAAAATGGCTTTTCTTATTACCTTAAAAGGAGTAGTTCACCCCCAAAAGTTCAGCCTCATATTGTTGACGCCATTGACTTTCATTGTGTGGACCTCAAAAGTTCTTTTGTGTTTGCAGAAGAATGGACATACAGGGTTGGAATGACAAGAGGGTGAATAAATTGTGAGAATTATCATTTTTGGATGAACTATCCCTTTTAGTGACCTTTTTGGGGTTTGTTTACCCAACCATACTCCCATTCATCAGTGTAATTGCTGGCTGTGGTTTAAGTTAGCCAAATTGACCCAGGGTTCCTTTCACCTCCAAGTTGGGTGCGGCTGAAGTTACGTAAGGTCATTACCTAAGTCCTTTTTTCAAATGTTGGAACATGAAGGTCATGATGTGGCAGGTAATGTCTCTAAACCTCATTTTCATTTCACTTTGGTTAACCAAAAAGCCAAGTATTCTGTCAAGACATATGTGTCCAGAATGGCTCTACAGGTTTTTGGGCTTGAAATATTCATCATTTTTATATAAAAGCATATGTATTTGAAGTCCTGTGAGATCTGTGCTTGACATACATTCTCTCAGGCCTCAATCTGATAAGAGATTCACTCGGAACTATTCATGTCGGAGTCGGAATGACAAGAGGGTGAATAAATTGTGAGAATTATCATTTTTGGATGAACTATCCCTTTTAGTGACCTTTTTGGGGTTTGTTTACCCAACCATACTCCCATTCATCAGTGTAATTGCTGGCTGTGGTTTAAGTTAGCCAAATTGACCCAGGGTTCCTTTCACCTCCAAGTTGGGTGCGGCTGAAGTTACGTAAGGTCATTACCTAAGTCCTTTTTTCAAATGTTGGAACATGAAGGTCATGATGTGGCAGGTAATGTCTCTAAACCTCATTTTCATTTCACTTTGGTTAACCAAAAATCCAACTATTCTGTCAAGACATATGTGTCCAGAATGGCTCTACAGGTTTTTGGGCTTGAAATATTCATCATTTTTATATAAACGCATATGTATTTGAAGTCCTGTGAGATCTGTGCTTGACATACATTCTCTCAGGCCTCAATCTGATAAGAGATTCACTCGGAACTATTCATGTCGGAGTCACACATGGAGAGCTTGGTCAAGGTCAGGGCCACTGAGGGCAGAAGTAACCACACGAGGCCCGGACATAAATAATGATGAGTCTCTCGGTTTAACTCTGAAATTGAGAAGAGGGTTAAAAAAAGAACTAAACACAGGTGAGCAATGACCTGTGGCGGTAGGCTGGACCGATGTGGACTGCACAGACCACGGAGGTCTTGGAGAAATCACGTCATCCCATGAACCAGCAGTGGACACATGAGCCCTTGGTGTCACAAAGGGCCGCTATTGAGACGCCTCCCAAAGCGCCATTAGGCCGCTGGTTGAATTCTGTCATTATTTACTGACCCTCATGTCATTCCAAACCTGTATGAAAAGTATAACTTAATTTTTCCGGTGGAAAAGGTGTCAGTGTTCTTTTTCAACATACAATGACAGTCAATGGGCTCCAGTGTTGTTTGGACTCCAACATTCTCCAAAATGTCTTCTTTTTTTTTTTTTTGCAAAGAAGAAAAAAAAATTAAACAGGTTTGGAACGATGTGAAGGTGAGTAAATTGTTACAATTTTCATTTTTGGGGTAGACTATCCTTTTAAGTATGTAAAAAAAAACAAAGGTAATTGCAAACACCACAAATAGGCACACATTTCAAACCTCGAATTAACAGACAATAACGAGGAAGATAAATCTAAATAAAAATCATTTATTTTCATTAATATAGTAATCAATCTACCTAGAGCAAAGAAATAAAGGTCCACCATGCCACTTTATTACTACAGTATGTGGAGGCTGCGCCAAGGTCTGAATACTGAACAGAAGTACACACAGACCAATAAGGAGAGAGGGAGTGGGGTTCATTCTGGTCTTCATTCTCCATGCCTAGTTTAAGGTGGGAGGGGCCAGTGTACTTGGGGGTGGAGTCTAGGATATACTCCTTTCATCTAAAACCTGGGAGGGAAAGCTTTGAAATCTTCAAGCTAGAGGAACAGACCTGTTATAGAGGGGCAGACCAACCTTGACAGACACAGGAAAGCGGAAATGTCTGTGCCGGTGTGAGTGTATGCGAGTGTGCATGTGTGTGTGTGTCTGAGAGACGAGGTGTAACAGGTGCTGCTTAGATCCAACTTTCACTGTACACTTGAAGAGGTTTCAGACACAAGGGATAAAAAATTGAGGTAACAAACGCCTTCCTTTTCTAGTTCCTGAAAAACAACATCAAAAAAGGAATTTCAGACAATATAAAAATGTTACACAAAGACAAAAACTGTGAACTGTGGATTATTTGTCTTTATATTGTAATTCATGATTAATCATTTTTAGAGATGCACAGATATTAAAATTCTGGTCAATACCAATATTTATATATATGAAAAATGATTAAAAAAAAAAACTACAATGAATATTTTAAATGCTTCAAGTGAGTTTAGGCATCACAACACTATAATGTACAGCAGTGGTGTTTCTGTTAACTAAAATGATTAAAAATCATTTTCGGTAATAAAAAAACTTAAATAAAATAACAAATAATAGATAAAAAAAATTGTTTTAGAATTAAAATGAGAAAATTTTAAATTAGACACTACAAATCAAGTTGAAATACTAAAATTACTAAACTTAAATTAAAGCTAAATCAAAGTATTAAAAACGAATAAAAATGACAGAAGCATATAACAAAATTACTAAAAATTAAACCAAAATGATAACTGAAAATATAAAAATAAAAGCTAATTTAAAATGAATAAATACTACAATAGTATATAAATAACAATGAAATAACACTGACGTACAGTATGAAAATATTGAGAGTTTCTAAAGATTACATTTATCAGTGTTATTAAATTGTTAGTGTTTTTAAAGAAACTTTGGTAATCTATATGCAAAAATAAGCATATACCATTAAATATCAACTGAACCAATAAATTAAAAAAAACACACACACACTAATTAATTCTTGATACCTGCTCTCATCGGGGTGTGTTGGTTCCACTTGACACTATGGTGCCATCTGTATTAGTGTGAGACTGCTCCTTCATCACTGGATCTAAAGACATGCACAAATTATGTATGTTTCTAGAATTTTAGTCAATTAGTTGCGTGTATACAAGTTGTCAGCAGTGAGGTAAGCTAACTCACAGAAATAAGGGTGCTCCATGGCCTCTGTGGCGGTCAGTCTCTGCTGATGGTCATAGCGTAGCAGCTTGTCAAGAAGGTCCAGAGCCTCTGGGCTCACCAAATGCTGATTCTCCGTCTGCACAAACTGTTCCCAGCGCTTCCGCGTCTGCCTGTAGGATACGGCAGGAGTTTCAGTAACTGGTCAAACTTACATAGTAATAGATTATGTCACAATTAGTATTAAAGCAATTGGTACTTGGTACTTCGTATCAGTGTTATTTCAGTATCATTGATATCCTATTACAATTTTTATAAATATTTTGAAGTGGTTTTTATTTTGTTTTGTGTTTTTGTCATTTTCAGTAGTTTTTATAAATTTTTATTTCACTTTTAGTTATTTTATAAAATCAAGTGAAAAATCACGTAACTGAATGAAAATGAGAAACGTTGCCTTGGCAGCTAGCTGAAAAATTAAATTCAAGTTTTTTAATTTTTTTTATTTTTATTTCAGTAAACATCTATTTTATTTCAGGTAAATAAAATTTTTATGGTTTAAATTTCAGTTTATTTAACTAAAATAACACTGCTTTGTATTTTAATATCGATGTACTGAACACTTACGTTTGGCCAGATATTATTTTTCTGACATATTTCCTTTTGTAAAAAGTTACTTAACTCAGAGGAAAGCCTTGGAATTACCTCAAATAATAAATAAATATAATTTTATAATAAATAATTGGTATTTTATTTGTGAATATAATATAACACAACATATCATAACAAATCATATACATTTGCTTTCTATTCTTGGCTTGTGTTTGTTATTACTGTGTTTTAAAAAATCCATTTAAATTTCTGAAATGCCTCTATGACATCCTCTGCTGGTACTCACTGGCCAAGCAGGTCTTTGAATCGTGGATCCAGTTCAATGTGGTATTTGCGCAGGTAGCCGAATAACTCATCTGTTCCAAGAACTTTTGCAATCCGCACCAGCTGGAGAACAAGGAAATCAAATGAAATCATGGTCACATGCTTAAGATAAAGAATTTAGCTTGTAGCGTTAAATGCATAATATGTATTTTAAATCTACTTATTAAAATGAACAATCAATCTATTCCTGATGTATAATGTCACGCACCTGATCGTAGTTGTCCTGGCCATGAAAGAAGGGCTCTTTCTGAAAGATCATACTGGCCAGCATGCAGCCGAGACTCCACATGTCCAGACTGTAATCATACATCTGTTCACGCAAAAAAAACACACATTTAACCCAATAACCATAGACAACCTAAAAAGAAAACAGCAATATGTGACATTCAAAAACTTTTACTGTATATTATTCGGATCATAAATATTACAATGTACATGCAATGATTAAGCATACTACGTTTAAGGACATTTGATTGAGTGATGTTCTAAATACCATCATTGTTGTTTATTTCATGCTAGTCTGACTGTTACTGACAGCTTTTTATAGTTGTCTTTCATGTGACAACAGTGTCTGGAATATTTATGATCTGAGCATAAGGAAATAAGGTCAAAGACTTTCAATATAAACAATGACATTGTGCAACTCCTCAACAGACCGAGATTAGTGGTGATGCAGATAAATATTTTTAGGCACTTAAACTGATCTGAAACTGGATGAACAAGTTATCGACAAAAATCGGAGGAATTTTACGTTACATAAGAGAAAGTATTTGTTGTCGTCATAAAATCGAGGACTCTGTCAAAGTAGCTCAGCATTTTTAAATTATTCTGTGTGATTCATGATGAGCATTTTACCTGATAGTCCACCAACAGTTCTGGACCCTTGAAATAGCGTGAAGCCACTCTGACATTGTACTCTTGTGCGGGGTGATAGAACTCAGCGAGACCCCAGTCTATCAATCTCAGCTGCATCAAAAACACACAAACATGATGCTGCAAATCAACACCTGAAAAACACTTTGTTACCCAAAAGAAAGTGGTACCCTGATGCCCTCTGCTGGTTTACAAAGCCAATAACTACATGGCAGAGGGAACATTACAGTCTTTCTTTCTCTGAAAGTCTCTCTGATTTGTATTCTGAATGTCTTAAATGCAGTTCAAGATGAAGAATTAACAATAACTGCATCATTACCTTCCTTAACTGGTGGTCGATCATAACATTGTGGGGTTTGACATCACGGTGCATGATCCCCATACTGTGGCAGTAGTCCAGAGCCTGCTCGTATTTAAACGAAACAAAACAAAACAAAACAAAACAAAAAAACAAAACCTTAGCAATGCATACGAGTCTCCAAAACAAGCCAGTGAAGCACACACTTGTGAGCTTACCTTTAGTAGTTCAAACATGTAAAAACGTATATCGTAATCTGTTAACTTTTGATACAGCTCCTAAACAGGAAGGAAACAAAAGATATTAGATTTGAAGGATTTAAATGCAACTTACAAGCATTTAAATGCAACTTAGACATTTCAAATAATTTTAATTATTATACCATTCCTTGGATTTTGATTAGCCAGCAGACAGTAAAATATTTCTGCAAAACAACTCATCACCTTAAATAGTCTCTTATTAAATATTGAAATGTCCATTAATTAATTATTCATTACCTTAAATAGACAGACTGGTAGATAGACAGATATACAGACGATAGATAGATAGATAGATAGATAGACAGACAGACAGACAGATGGACGGACGGACTGATAGACAGACAGACAGACAGATATACAGATAGATAGACAGACAACCTTAAATAGAATATACCTTAAAATCTGTGTTATTGATGCATTCAAAGACAAGCGCAGGTGTTCGAGACTGCAGAATGATTGGGGAGGAATCGCAAAAACAGAGAGAAAAAGAGATGAACAATCAGAAAAAAGGAAGTCCTTCAATCAACCAATAAAACAATAGTAAGCATTAACAGACACCATCAAGCAGTCATTGTGATGGCAATCAGGAATAAAACAGGAGCACAAGGACTACAAAAGGATCATGGCTGGCTGCAACTCATTATTCAGATGTAAAATCTAATTTGCTGTTTAAATAATCATTACCACGCTTCTCAGCCATTTTCATATGATCTCATTTGTGTCCATATAATCCTTTGAAATCACTCTATTACCGGTTGCTTATGTTTGTACGGTAAATCTGTGACATTTCCAATCTGATTTTTTTTTTCAATGTAATTTCACTGACAACTTTGAGACATAAAAACTTCTTACAACTAATTCCGGCCTGAACCCAAATTCGCATCTGTAAGCTATAAAAAGCAATTTGTCTCAAATGCTGTCCACCCACGATCTTCAGAAAAGGAAAAATCAAAGTCCTCCTTCATTACCTTCCTTAACTGGTGGTCGATCATAACATTGTGGGGTTTGACATCACGGTGCATGATCCCCATACTGTGGCAGTAGTCCAGAGCCTGCTCGTATTTAAACGAAACAAAACAAAACAAAACAAAACAAAAAAACAAAACCTTAGCAATGCATACGAGTCTCCAAAACAAGCCAGTGAAGCACACACTTGTGAGCTTACCTTTAGTAGTTCAAACATGTAAAAACGTATATCGTAATCTGTTAACTTTTGATACAGCTCCTAAACAGGAAGGAAACAAAAGATATTAGATTTGAAGGATTTAAATGCAACTTACAAGCATTTAAATGCAACTTAGACATTTCAAATAATTTTAATTATTATACCATTCCTTGGATTTTGATTAGCCAGCAGACAGTAAAATATTTCTGCAAAACAACTCATCACCTTAAATAGTCTCTTATTAAATATTGAAATGTCCATTAATTAATTATTCATTACCTTAAATAGACAGACTGGTAGATAGACAGATATACAGACGATAGATAGATAGATAGATAGATAGACAGACAGACAGACAGATGGACGGACGGACTGATAGACAGACAGACAGACAGATATACAGATAGATAGACAGACAACCTTAAATAGAATATACCTTAAAATCTGTGTTATTGATGCATTCAAAGACAAGCGCAGGTGTTCGAGACTGCAGAATGATTGGGGAGGAATCGCAAAAACAGAGAGAAAAAGAGATGAACAATCAGAAAAAAGGAAGTCCTTCAATCAACCAATAAAACAATAGTAAGCATTAACAGACACCATCAAGCAGTCATTGTGATGGCAATCAGGAATAAAACAGGAGCACAAGGACTACAAAAGGATCATGGCTGGCTGCAACTCATTATTCAGATGTAAAATCTAATTTGCTGTTTAAATAATCATTACCACGCTTCTCAGCCATTTTCATATGATCTCATTTGTGTCCATATAATCCTTTGAAATCACTCTATTACCGGTTGCTTATGTTTGTACGGTAAATCTGTGACATTTCCAATCTGATTTTTTTTTTCAATGTAATTTCACTGACAACTTTGAGACATAAAAACTTCTTACAACTAATTCCGGCCTGAACCCAAATTCGCATCTGTAAGCTATAAAAAGCAATTTGTCTCAAATGCTGTCCACCCACGATCTTCAGAAAAGGAAAAATCAAAGTCCTCCTGAGACAAACTGTGCACCCTGATTGGACAAGTATCGCCAACGGAAGAGGAGAGAGATGGACAACGTACCACAGGGTCCTTTACTGTGTCCATTAGCTGAATGATGTTGGTTCCTCCTCGTAAGTTCTCCAGGATCTTGATCTCTCTCTTGATCTTCTTTTTCTTGACAGGCTATTTTAGAAATCAAATATGTAACAATATATAAAACCTAGTCAACATTAAACAACAATAAAAACCTCATGACATGGCTTGATAAACACATTTTTGTCTGTGGTAAAACAGAAAGTTGAAATAGGAATTTTAAAAGGCTTGTCTCCGTTTGAAAGCAGCCAATAGCCTGTAGTTTACCTCAAAAACATAGTTTGCTATTGCTAGTGAGAATATTAAGGGGAGGGAAATTCTCATTCCAGGAGACATTTGATTGGCCAAAACCTTGCCCAAGAGCGCAACATGTTTCATCAATATCTTTTTGTGTGTCCTCAGAAGAGCGAAAAAGTATATTTTAAATGCGTTTATATTTTTTAAGCATATACTCTGCTGTGCAAAAGTTTGGGGTCAGTTAGATTTTTTTTTAAAGAAATTAACACATTTATTCAGCAAGGATATATTAAAATAATCAAACGTGACAGTCACATTAAGCAGCCCAACTGTTCTTATTGGTAATAATAAGAAATGTTTTTTGAGCACAACATCAGCATATCAGAATGATTTCTGAATGATCATGTGACAATGAAGACTGGAGTAATGATGCTGAAAATTCAGCTTTGCATTACAGAAATAAATTATATTTTAAAACATATTTAAATAGAAAACACACTATTTTAAATTGGAATAATATTTCACAAATTTACTATTTTTAACTGTATTTTTTAATAAATAAATGCATGAGACTTTCAAAAATATTTTAAAAATCTTACAGACCCTAAACTTTGGAATGTTAGTGTATGTCCTGTATGTGGTGTATGGTTTCTTCAAGAGAAAAAAAATAATAATAATAACAATAAAAATCATGCAACTATCTACATGGAACTTACATCAAGCCAAGATTTCCTTCAATTTCTGGAGAAAATTACATTTAAATTTACCTCAGAGAAACCACATCATTTAATAAAATATAAGATGAAAAGATGTCAAAGGTCATATTGACTACACACTGAATAGAAACTCTCACCTTAAGGATTTTGACCACCACCTTCTCATTATTGTTGATGTTGATGGCCTCGAAGACCTCGCTGTATTTGCCCCTCCCGAGCTTCCGTACCAGCTGGTAATCCTCCTGGTTACTGCAGGTGGTACACAGATTCACATGCCAGTCAGATAAGAGAATCTACACCAGAAAGCAACATCTCCAACCCAGCACGCAGATGAGCAACAAGGGGCTGAAACACATTCAACCATCTGTGAAAATGACCAAGCCCATCATTTCCCCTGTCAGCTGAGGGCTGACTGACATCTCTACCAAGGGACTGAGTCAAAGACGACATTTTAAGCATTGGTCTCCTGTCTGAAAATGCGCTTAACTATAGTAATGAGGCAAACGCCACTATTCTTACAGAGCTTAGTTTGTACATGCAGAATCACATTTTAATCTGAATCAAAATGGCTTAACATAAAGCAGTAAGCTACAATAAATACAATTGAGAATATATACATTACGATGTAAAAAAAATAAATAAAAAAAAACTTCAGCTGCATCCAATTGTCCTATTTTAGTATTGTTTATATACAATTATAATGCCTAGTAATATTTTAAATTAGCTTTTATTTTTATATTTTCAGTTTTCATTTGAATTTTAAGTTTTCATTTTGCAATTAGTTTTTTTTAGTCTTGATTTATTTTTATTTCAGTTTTAGTTGCATTAGTACTTCATCTTATTTAAGTTATTTGCCAAGGCATCATTTCTAATTTTTGGTACAGTTTAATCTAATATTTATATTTTATTTCAACTTTATTTCAATTAACAAAAACAAATTGTAATACTTTTAGTTATCAATGACAACACTGGCATCCACATGACTCACTAATGCCACAGCAACCATACAACTAAAATTCCATGCTCAAATGTCATTTTTTCCCATTCTGGCACATTGCATTTAACATCAATGTCGTGGAACCTTGCAGTAAATAATGACTTAACTTTGACTCACCACACAAAAATATAAGTTATATACACACACATATACTGTATATATATCAGAAGACTGATATCAAGCAAAATAGTTGCCAATTTTATGGTGTTTTCATGGTGTTTTCTTTGACAGACAGTCACTATGATCAGTTTTACTGTATGGAAAAGAGCTGTGTGAAAATTGCTAAACAAATTCTCCTTTTGTGTAATACAGAAAAAACAAATACAAAAAATAATAAATAACGACAGCATATTCATCATCACCTGCAATAATATATGTGCACTGTTTAAAACAGAAGCACATTAACTGCTCCAGAGGAATCTAACCATTAAAACCACTAAATGCTGTATTTGTGCACTGGTTTAGAATGGTAATTACTGGACGTGCACCGCACACTTGAGGGAAGCAGCGCATTTGCATAAAATCTGTGGATAGTCACACACTCCCCCTCTCTAACGCTGCATCTGTACATCCGTTCATGTCATCCTCTCATCATCAGCTCTCAAAACAGGAGCTGCTCGATCACGCAGATTGATGACTTTCCCAGAACGATCGATAGCGAGCCTACAAATGTGAACCACTGCGCAAAGAAAACCAGCAGGCATATGCACAAAATTATACACGAAACGCGCCTAGGTAGGTAGCTCACTGGGTTTTGAGACACAAAATCAGGTGATGATGCACTTGGGCTTTTTATAGCTTTAAATCTCTCACCTCCAGGTGGGCACATGGGCCTCGTAGTCCCAGTATTCCCTGCTCTTCAAAGTGTTGACATCGGCATACACCCGAGATTTACTACCGGCCACCGGGCCGGGCATGGCGCGCGACGGGGCTCAGGGTGTAGGAGAAATCCGATCGCCAAATCCAATCCAAAACACACAAGAACGCGGAGGACCACCGATCAGAAGTACACCAACCTGGGGGAGGCCTGACGGTGTCCGGTTTGGGCGTGTGATATCTGAAATCAGCGGCGTAAAAGATGGAGCGCGGTGGACGCTGAGCAGCGCTCGTTCCCCGGCTTGTCAGTGGTGTTTAAACCGCCTGGAGATCCGAGGGTGAAAATGAACGGTGGATAGTCTGTGAAATGCTCTGGCAGTGCTAATGTCGCATGCAAAGCTAGATGGTCTATTTTGGATCTGTATGTGAGAAGTTTTGTGAAAAGTTATTGGGTTTAAAAATAGACTTTGAGTCTTAGGCGGGGGGGTTTGTTTAAATCTAATTCTTGTGGGTTAAACCCCCCCACCACCCCAAAGGGGCCTCAAATTCCTAGATCCAAAGCATAGAGATCCAAGAAGAAAAGCCAGGATGTGTTTCCTCTCAGTCTTCAGTCTGTAACAATGGATGCTGGAAAATACAGACCGTAACTGAATAGAATATAACTAACCAGTCTCTAAGCTTCAGGATATTGATTGACTGGTTAAGAGAGAGAGAGCGAGCGAGAGGCGGTGGACTACAGATCGATGTTCTGCTCGACCCCCGTGGAAAACCGTGTCACCGTGACGTCTCTTGCGTAAAGTCGATATGCAATAATCGCGAAACCCGTTTATAATCCCGTGCAGCGTTCCGCTTGTGATCGAGGTTCGGGTTTTCCGGACCAATCCCCGTGCTGCAGCAGGAAAAACGGACTGCAACGGTTTGACCCGGAAGCGCAAGATAGCTTTATCAATTAGCATTGAACAGCCGGAAGTACAAGTTGTCATGGCCACTGGGCATGTCCGTCCGTTGCTACGCTACGCGGCCATATATGAAAGACTTCCGCTTCCACTGTTGACAAAGGAACAGATCGCATTTCGACACAAGTACTATGAAAAAAATATTCATTTTGAGGAAATGTATGGCCGGATTTTTTTACTGTTCCTGTTTCACTCCTTTCAAAAGTATCATCACACTTGCAGTTTTGTGCAAGTTGTTTTCGTTACCTTAATAAACGATGAACTCGGGGAAAACATAGCCTACGTAAACGGCATATGTAAATCTAGCATGTAAATTTCCTCATAAGATTAATGTTTACAATATTAAATAACAATACTGATGTTATTTATTAATTTACTGTTTTATCTTTAATACATATCGTGTATAACGTTGTCTGGTATAATCTGTCCCTAAATTGAAAAATTATGTTTATATTTAATGTGTTTTTTTTCATAGAGTATCACAATAATAAATGTATGTGTTTATTATTTTAACATAAATAATTTAATGGCAAAGCACAAGAAACCATGGCATTGTTTACCTTGGCAACCATGGCAGAAACGACAGAGGACGGTAAAATCGACACGGATAAAAAACAACTTGTTGAACTTGTGGAGGACTTGAAGTAAAGCACAAAAGCTTGTTTTTTTTTTTCAAAATCTTGGCTTATTCTCGCAGGCATATTTGCCAAAAGATAACCTACATATTATTCGTTTTAATAATACTGTTATGTGGTTGGCAGATAACGAGACGGACTAGCAACGTTTCACTGATCCTAGTCTCTAAACGTTTTATTTCGTATTCTGTCGACAAACATTGTATATTATAAATTATATTTACATTTGAATAACTCACTTTTGTTACCCTCAATTTAAGACGCTCCAATGCAGCGCGACAAGCAGAAATCGATCTGTTTGATCGATATATTAATCGACTGGACCCACAAACTCATTCGGAGTCTTTTGAAACAGCATCACAGCTGGAAATGGCAACGGTACGTATTTTATAGACGACGTGTGTTATATGCGTTTTGAATATTCTATCTTTGTATTTAATGTTAAATGAATACAGTCATTGCATAATGTTCAATACGTCGTGACGTCTTTATCGTCTCTTTTCACTCTAAAATTTTGAGGTGAAATATTCCTGTGTATGTAAATCTTGTCATTTAAAACGTGTTACGTTGTTCCGTGTTCTTTAAATAACATTAATGTGTTTTTAATTCATTTCAATGACGTCATTCGTTCTTTCATCATCGTCAATCATGACGTCATTCGTTCACTGTCCATCTTTTGATACCAGAGTCCAGGAAGGAAAACCAAAGTACGCACTCCAGAGACACAACAGCTCCTGACACTGGAACAGAAATGGGATGTCGCCCAAAGCGTGCATAAACAGATGACAGAAGATTTGAAGAGAGCAAAAGACCATTCAGAAAGAGAGCTGGACAATTACAAGGTCATTAGTCAAGAGAGACAGAACAAACTCATGAGGCTATGACAAATTCATTTCATATGTTTATGTAATTGATTATACCCCCTTTAGGCAACTCTGGAAGAAGCTGATATCCACTTGGCAGAGGTTAAAAAAGAATGTTGCCAGTTTGATCGTGACATCTGTAAAGCACTGCGAGACAAAAAGAGTGTGACGATGAGTGCTGAGAAGGTCATCAGATACATTGAGGATAAAGTAAGGGCCAAGGTAAAAGAAAACTTAAGATTGCAGGTTTATTCTGACAGGAATTGTGATTTAAAATCACAATAAAGTGCCCACATTTTTCCAGGAGAACCTGATTGAGAAGTTGTATCAGAAGAATGCAGCACTCCTCGCATACAAGAAAAAGCTACAAATCCAGTTAAAACAACAAGAGGAGATGGGTGAAGGGCTGACAGCTTTGGACTTTGAGCAGCTCAAGTTTGGGAACATGAAATGTAGGAAGCGACTGGATGAGCAAAACCTCAAACATATGGAACTCAAACTGCTTGCAGGGAAGACCTTGCATGTCTTGAATTCTGTGAAGGTGAGATACTCAACCAACTATAAAGTGGTCTGCAAGCCTGACAGCTGAAGATATCAAATATGTGTTGAGCTACACACCACAGTAATAGGACAGGTCTTGTTAAGGGTCATTACTATAAGAAACCCTTGGCCTTGAGCGGTCAACCGAAAACTGTGGGCACTGTAAGTGTCTAGAGAATTTTTTCAATATCTCTGTCTTGCAGGAGAAGCTTCAGACCTTGACACATGAGTCAGATGTGCTGAGCAGTGACATTGCTTTACGAATGAAGATACTGGTTAAGATTGAGGAGGAGACTAAGCAAGCAGAGGAGGTCAGGATAATGAAATTACTTGTAAATTACTTAAATAACCAACATGATGGCAGTAAATAACTAAATATTTACAATTTTAAAATTCTGGTAGTCTGTCAACCATTAAATAATAAAAATAATAATAAACCGACTAAAAGATATTTGTACTAGTTGGAGTGGTACTCCACTGCCCAAAAGCCATAATATGGATTTTTTTCCCTGACAGGAACGAAACAAAGCAGAGGCTCTGAACAGGAAGTTGAGGGGCCAGTTGGCCGATTTTCACGTACCACATGTCCTACAATACATCAAAGTTAAGGAGTCTCATGGCCAGCTGCAGAAGAGTGTTAAAGAATGGGAACGCAAGGTGGAGATTGCAGAGGTGAGGATTCCCCTAAGGTTCCCCCCCCCCCCCAAGAATTAATCATATCATTGTGTGTGTGTGTGTTTTTAATTACCCAATTATTCCAGATGGCATTAAAAACACACACAAAATCCTGGGCCAAGCTTCGGATCGCTGCTGGAGCCAGACCAGTTCCTGCACGACATGCAGCCATAGATGCTGGATTGTATGTGTTCTGAAACAACAAGAACTACTTCTTGTCCTAAATAACCTCAATGCCCAAGATGATGTCAAAGATACTCATACAATTTTGCATCTTTTGCTAAATTTCATTGAAGCACAAATGCATCAATATAAACAATAAAAATGACACACAACAATGCATTATTAATGAAAAGGTTTATTAGTTAGTGCTGTGTATATTAAATGCTACATACAGATATGTCAGCATGAATGTCACATCAACCGCCACATGAAGTTTTCTTACTAGCTCATACACGATCTACAATTTGAAAAAAAGCTAAGGAGAAGTATGTGCACTCGAAAGCGCACATACCTGGAACAGATTACGGGGACTAACACAGCAGGCATGCAGGGGTGGAGAGGTCTCAAAACCATAGAGGAAGGCCATCAATCTTAACGTTCCCCTGTGGTCCTGACACGTCTGCCAAGAATATAGATATTTATATAGAGATTTTAAACAATATTAATACAAAAAAATAATATACAAAACATGAAAACATAAACACAACATAGTTTTCAAATCTGACTGCTCGCTGATTCTTAATGCCTACAGTTTAAAAAAGCCCCTTGGTATTTAAAACAGTGGTAAATAGATACAATAAATGGGAAACAAATTGGAGGCAAAGGGCTCTGCAGAGAAACTAGACGCCCCTGCTTAAGGCCAAAGTGTCACTATCACCTCGCTGTACAGTACTAGGCGAAACCTAACTGCAAGAGGGAGACGCTCCTCAAGGGCCAATGGTCAACATATAATACTGCATAAGCAACAGAGCTGAGAATGTCATTTTGCCCCAGGTAAGATGATGCAAAATTGTGATGTGGGTGGGAGGGAAACAACGCAGGCAAATGAAGACTTGGACAGCTTGTTCTATTCAAAAACAGTTTTGAAGACCAATAAAAAAAGTGGGAGCTTTTTCTAATATTAAAAAAGGAGAGTACATGATTCAAAAACCAAAGATTACTCTTGTATGAGTACCACTTACTCTCTAAATTAAATATGTATATACTACAATTGTAGTAAGTGTCAGTTTAAAAAACAATTTTTTAAAAGAACGTACTGGTTATCGTTTGATGAGTATGCAACACAGACATTCACTAACAACATCAGAGTGATGTGCGTTTAAGTCAAGGCCTTAGAGATAGAAAGAATAACAAAAAAATGACTCGCCGTCATGTTGCGAAAGGCAAATGACTGCAGGCAAGACATGGTGTTGGCAGATTAGAGATCAAACACATGGATAAATCTATACAGTAGAGGAAGAATGACACTTAGGGTACTGTACAACAAGTACATGAGTCCTGTATGGGGCAGTGGGTGGTCAGGGCATGGGGCAAAAACCTTTATAAAATCAGACTCAATTTTCACACAACCTTGAACACACCAATTACAATCCAAACTACATCTACAAAGAGGCTGAAATAAATTTTAAAAAGGCAAATTAGAAACAAAATATAAAGAATGTATGAATCAGAACTTCACATGAAAACTACTTATAAAATGGTGGTGCAGTTTAAGAAAGACAATGCAATATCTAATGACAGGACTGGTAAACAAGTTGCATACATACTAACTGTACATACAGTAATACGGGAAGCCTTTTCAGTTTTTTTAGGCAATTTTCAGGACAGCTGTACTGATTCTCATGGTAATATGAACTGTTTGTATACAAGATTGAAGTTTACATTTCTATATAGATTCTATATATTTACGTATAATCTCAGTGAAATGTAGAGACCGTCTGAGGTCGTTATACTTCTGCTGGTTAACGATCTGTCCCATTTAAGGTGTGGTACAGTACAATGATGGTTTTTGGTACATACCATTAGTTGCCACGACAAGGGGAACGTCAACATTGACATATACAGACAGTTTCAACAGTTCATAACTTTGTCCCCCTTTTTGTTTTGTCGTTAGCTGTGGGGCGAACTAAATACGCACAGTAGGCTGCCGGAGGTGCTCCAAATGTGTGTACATTGGACCAAGGCTAGTGATCGGAGTAGAGTTATTACGCAGAGGCACACAGTAAGCAGTATTTGAACCATACTAGGTACTAACAAAAGTGTATAGCTGATTTAATATGAAGGATCAAGACTGAACAAATAGTTGCAGACCGAATCGTTTTTTGACTTGTGCTCTAAAGATCTGATGGGGGCATTGTGAGCCATGTCGGGTCAAGGAACCACAATGCAGGGCAAATGCCACCCTACTGGACTAGGGTCACAGTGTTATCTGGGATAGAGTTCGATATCTCCCGTTCCCTCCTCCCAGGATTCAGATATAAACCAGCAATCAATAACTTTTCGCCGATCAAATCCAATTAAAGTATGCCTCTTGATATCAAAAAGGGAATAACTACTTGTTGAGCATATGCATGTTTAGAACAAAATGAGGTACTATGAAGTCACTGGGCCTTGTAAGAATTCATTTGACTGGAGTAGAAATTGCTACTACCTCTGCAAATGGTAATTGGGAGCACAAGTTACTGAATGAGAGAGGACACAGGATACCCCCCACCTTCAGCTGTGTGCTGGACAGTATGCTCCTGAAGGGCTCCTAGATCAGCAAAACGCTCTCCACACCATACACATTTAAACTGGGCATCTCTCGCATGCACGCTTTGATGCTTGGCCAGGTGTTCGCGTTGCTTGAAGCCCTTGTCACAACTGGCGCACTTGTAGGGCTTCTCTCCGGTGTGGACGCGTCTGTGCCGCTGCAACTCCGAGGAGTACTTGAAACGCTTCTCACAGTCGGGACACTTCAAGGGCTTCTCCCGGGAAGGGTCGCATCGGTGCTGCACGAACTCTGAGGAGGACAGGAAGCGTCGGTCACACAGCGAGCATTTGAGTGGCTTCTCGGTGCAGTGGGAATTCTGATGGCGCTGTAGCGTGGTGGCCTTTTTGTAGGCCTTTCCGCACACGTCGCACTTGTAGGGCTTGTCTGGATTTGTGGGTGTCGAGGAGGACTCACCACATTTGTGGCGGAGCAGCTCACCCGACTGGCTGAAGCCCTTGCCGCAGGAGGCGCACTTGAAAAGGTTGTCCATGCCGTGAACATGCTGGTGGTACAACAAGTGGGACGGCTGCAGGAAGCCCTTGTCACAAAGGTTGCATTTGAAGGGGCGGTCGGCGGAGGGCTTGTGCGTGCGTCGGTGGCGCACCAGGGCATACTGTTGTTTAAAGCTCATCTGGCAGTCTTCACAGTGGAATGGGCGTTCCTCCGAGTGAGTACGTTCGTGCTGTCTCAGGTCGGACGGACGCTTGAAGCCCTTCCCGCACGTGGCGCAGCGAAATGGCCGAGCACCTTGCGGCTGACACTGGTGGTGGAGGAGCTCGGAAGACTCTTTGAAGTGCAACTCGCAAAGGTTGCACTTGAACAGGTGCTCACCCGAGTGGGCGTACATGTGACGGACTAGGTGGGATCGGTGCTTGAAGCTCTTCTCGCACACCGCACACTTGAACGGCCGTTCTGAGCTGTGGGTACGCTGGTGGTGGGCTAGATGAGAGGACTGGCTAAAGCTTTTGTCACATGTTTCACATTTAAAAGGCTTCTCGCCCGTGTGGACGCGTTCATGACGGGTGAGCTCAGATAAGTGACGGAAACCCTTGGAGCACACGGAACACTTGTAGGGCCTGTCAGGTTGCGAAGGCTCAAACGTAGGCTGGCCTGACGTCCCGACAGCAGCGCTGCCACTGGACGATGCTTCGTCGTTAGATGGTTGCCCTGGAGTGCCCGTTGATGAAGTTGGCGTGGCATTTCCAGAACCCGGCCGATATGTTTTTTCACATATGGAGCACTTCATGGGGTTGCCACTGTTATGGGCATTGTGATGCTGCGCTAGAGAAGTTAACAGGGAGAAGCCCATCTTGCACACTCCGCACACAAAGGGTTTCTGCTCCACCTGCACGCACTGATGCTCCAACAGGTCAGTGGCTTGGTGGAAGATTTTCAGACACTGCGTGCACTGAAACGAACGGTCTTGGCTCACCATGCACTGGTGCTCATGGGGATTAGCCAGATGGGAGATGTCATGGCCACATGCACCACACTTGTGTCCTTCCTCGCTCCCTACATGCAATGAGGGCTGCTGCGCTTGTGCCGGATGCTGCTGCTGGTTGAGCTGCTGACTGTGATGTTGCTGTTGTTGCTGGGATTGTTGCTGCTGCTGCTGCTGTTGTTGTTGCAATGCCGTGTCCGGCTGGAGGACGATGCCGTAGACAGTGCAGCCCAGTGTGTCCGCCCCTGGTGGGATGGTGTGCACCACTGGAGGCGGGGCAACAGCATGCTGCTGCCACGCCTCCGTCATCCGGGCTCGGGTGTACGGATTCAGCTTTGAGCCGTAGTTTAACCTCTTTCCAGACGAATTTAGGGGGAAGGGAATGTTGGACTGCCCACGATGGGAAAGGTGGGGAGGCAGAGAGGAACTTATTTTGACAGCTCGTGAGAATGACAAATGAAGAAAAAAATTATATGTAATAATGTTTTCAGGAACACTTTGTGGCTTGATATAAACAGCGAACTGACATGGATGTGAGCATCAGCCAAAAGTGCAAAGGAGCTTAACCTTCTTCATCACCTTGGTACAGCCCTATAAGAGAAAAAAAAGAGAACTGAATGAAAAACGTGCAATAGAACACTCCACACATCTTTAGGGGCATTCACACTGCAGGGCTCCACAACATGGATGGCTTATGAAACAGTTTTGAGCCAGTTGATGGAACCATCACTTGCCACATCATACATTTGTTGATCTTGTACATGTCATTTTATGCCTTGCAAATTTAAACTTAATATTAAGATGAGTATTGTCATTGCATATTTTGCTGATTTAAATGTTACCAAGGCAACATTATCTAACTGGCTGACAAAGGGAGTCTTTACACCGCCAAGTTTAGGCCGCTCTGTACCCGTTTAAAATACAGTGTAAAGATGCAATGGTGCATAAAAACCAGGCTAAATTATGCCTGCTCTGACCCACCTTATTCCCTAGTATCAAACTGTACAGTTGCAATTGCTGTTAATGCATTTATGCCACCTCTGAGTAGCATTTAATTAGTCTAAGACAATGAACTGCCACTTTAGAAGCACTTATGTTATGTGACACCCTTTGAAGTGTAAATTTGAGGTTTTGTTGAAACCGCTATAAAAAATTGATCTTGGAAACATCAATAAGACAAGCTTAAAAATTACAAATAGATCCTTTTTTGAAGTTGAAAAAAAATTAAGATTCCATGAAAAATTTAAATATTCTGGCATATAGAAAACATGGCTGAAATTAAAATGTGTGTGGCCAGTAAAGTAAAAAAAAATAAAAAAACATCTGAACTACTGGTCCGAATGGGACAGAATAAAATATCTGTATTGTTCAACAATAAGACCCCTGACACTGACAGCGGCTTGCATCATTAAAATTGACCAGAAGACAAAGAAAGCTGGCTATTTAAGGCAACATGAGTTTTAAAAGATTGCTGGTGATCCTACTACATCAGCAAAGCGACTTGACGACCTTGGCAGTTTAACCACTGTTAATGTGAAAAGCCTTAATCTTTACTGCAACAGCTGGCTTTGAGTCTTGGCTACTTGGTCTTGGCTATTCTACAATCATCAAATGGTTACCTGAATGTACATTTCAAATCATATCATACTAACTTAGAATTTTAAGTGCGCACTTATATTCTACCTGAGCAGAGCACCTAATAAACTAACAATAAGTAAACACAGTACCATATGCACCAAATGAAATCTGATCACGGACCACACAAAATGCATATGATACCCAAAATGCTGTCCAGGTAGGAAGCTCACTATGTTATAAGACACAGTCCTTTTGTCTCCAATCACCACATTAATAGACTGTGTACAAAAGGGGTACACATGCCCCAAAGCATGCATGCATGGTTAAGACAATGCAATAACACAACGATATTGAATGACGCTAGATCGCCGCGTATTTGTTTACACACAATTCGCGCACACATATTCGCGTTTTTTTTACCGCGGTGCATAAAAGCCGGTGACAAAACTGTAGCTTTAGGTAAGGTAGCACTAATATTAATGTCCAACACAGAACCCTACAGTTTATAAAACCGGCGGGTTTTCAAGACACCTGGAAGAAAACCATACACACAGCTTTGCAAAATGGCTAACGAATATTTGCAAGCTGGCTAACAGGCTAACAGTATCTTTGCAACACAGACATCCTGCTACGTTTTGTTCACATATGCATATTACCTTTTTCATAAGCGGGTTCCACGCATGTTCATTCTCGGAAATATACGTTTAAACAAAAAACAGCTTATGGTGTTTCTGAAGGCCGTAAATCCTCCCACCGACCCGCGGTCTCGGCTAGGCCGCACCCCTGGCCAGTGTCTACAAAAACACTTGAAAACCCTGCCAACTCCCCGGATCTCTCTTGGGTTGCTCCGCAAAACCCCGATAGCAGCCTTTTCGGCGTTTGCAGCGCATTTAGGGGAGCCGACTGGCGAGGAGAGCCCGAAACATAGTGTGTTTTATTTCGGGCTTGGATCAGTGACCACCGAAACCCCCGACAGCCGCACGGGAACCTGAATAACACATAATTGGCATCCTTACAAAACATACCGGAACTTCATTAATTTGATTCAAAACCGGCATTTAGATTTACATATTCATACAAAAAACGTCATTGTTACGCATTATATGTGTATATCGCTGTTTCAGGGTATAGGGGCAAATGGATATTTTATTAGAACACTTTTTGAGGAATTATTGTAGCATAAGACAGGATAATTGTTCATATGAAGCTGCAAAAAGAAAATCAACGTCAACATTTTGTTCGTGTGAACATTGTATGTTAGTGTTTATGCTAGGATGCAAGATTAAGTTTGTGTATATTTGCTCCATGTCATATTGACCGGCTGTAATGTTTTATAAGGGCAGTATGCAAAACAGCCGGAACGATTTGAATTGATCTTTGCTGTAGTGGGACGCTGTGATGAAGCACCGTTTGTTTTCTAGTGATGGGAGGTCCAAATCATTTCCAGAATCGGTTCTTTCGAATGGTTCGTTTCAAAGAACCGGTTCAAAACGTACACGCACTCATCCTATATCCTTGCTTTGAATAAAGCCATGATTAGGAATATGATCCTAAATAAAACGGATGTCTCGGCTAAAAAATAAAAAATAAAATTACATTTCACTGTTTCGTTTGTGTCATAAATTATGATATGAAACTATCATACAATCAAGTGGCTCAAAACCGCTCGGACCGCTTTAGATTTGTGAATGAATCATTCTGACCGGTGCTGTGAACCGGTTCAACTGATTCACTGTAAGAGCCGACTCATACGAATGATTCGTTAATGAATCCTCTGGTTTGTTGTCGCGGGGCGCTGTGAAGAAACAGCAACATTTGTTTCCAATGGAAGCACTTTGCACGAGACAATAACGAGTGTCATAACTGAGATGGTGTTTTTCAAGAAAAGTTTTTTAATTCTCTGATGCAGTTTTTTTTAAAAGATTTTTTCTGTTAGCATGATTGTCAATTACAGTAGTAGCAGTTCTGAAGAGGAAACTGAAAACACTTCAAAACATGATTCCTCACCTTTAAGGAAAAGAGGAATACTCGACACTGAAAACAGGTTTGGTGTGTTTGATGGTTTCTTGATTTCGTTTTATTTTGATGTGCTTTTCCAGGGCTCTTAAGTTCCTCTTTTTACCTCAATAGCATCAGTGAACCTTTGGATCATGGATCTGTTAAAAGGAAAGCTGGCAAATCAGCCCACTCGACACCTCGACTGCCTCTTCCTGATAGCGTGAAGGCGATGTTCAGAGAATCAGAAGAACAGTGGATCGATAAAAGTGAAGAGCATGGAGGGCGACTGCGGTCCTTCCAGCATGAGCGGGGCAACTGGGCTACATGCGTGTTCTGTCCTTGTAAGCATTTTCCTCAGTGTATTTAGGTCGATACTGTAATTTTTCTCTGAATGACCTTTAACCCTTTTTTAGATGATCCTGAGGAGGCCTTTCTGGAGCTACTCAATGAAATGATGGTGGTTGCGGCCACTCACGGCATCCCCCTGTCCCTGTCTGAAGAATTTCACCTCAGTCTCTCAAAGACAGTGGTTCTGCGCCATCACTGGATCCAACCATTTATTCAGTCCATTCAGACCGGTCTGACACAGTTCCAGAAGTCAGTGCTATCTAATCAAAACCTCAAAACCTGTGTTTAACCCCAGGTTGTCGTCATTTTAAACACCGCTTATAACCCCGGGAAGAGGAGCGTTTCACACTAGTAACTTAGAAGTATTGGTTTTTACCTGCGGCTATCTGAAAAGTGAAGCAAGATAACCCAGGATTGCATTTACCCCGGGTTTAGAATGACCCAGGGTTAACTATTTTCAGTGTGAAAAGCCCTACTGTTTCATTATGCTGTATGTCAGTTGCTGGGTATCTAAAAGTCAGATTGTTTTCTCAGGTTTTTCTGCTTGGCTGATAAACTGAAGGTTTATTCTAATGCTGAAAAGTCTAGGTATGTCATTACTCTAAATCTTAATGACCCAACTAGGATGTGTATTTATGTCTTCCTTTCAAATAATGGACATGCACTGTTTTAATGGCATCAAGTTGTTCATGCAGGACCTTCCTTGGTATGGAAATCTCCACTGGAAAAACTCAGTTGCTTGAGCTCATCAAAATGGTGGATGAAACCATGACAGAATTCAACCTTAGCACCTTTTATAAGGTAAAACCTGGCATTGATTTCATATTTGTGACTCAAATACAATCAAATTTAGATTTCATCTAACACTCTTCCTTAATAGGATCCTTCTTTCCACATAAGCCTTGCTTGGTGTGTGGGTGATCATGTGGATAGACTGAAAAAAACATGTTTATCAGAATTGCAGGTAGGAACCCAAACACAGATCTGCACCACAAACTAAACAAGGATGAGTATTGATTAAAGGCAAAGGTTGTGGAGTTGGGCTGTTTTTTTTGTGTTGACATCTGAACTAATAACCTGCGTTTCTTTTCCGCAGAGTCTCGTTGACGCTCATGAAGACGGGCCATTTTACATACAGCTCAACTGCACGGAGCTTCGCTGCAAATCGGGAAATAAAGTCTTTCTTTTCCCCCTCCAGTGATCTTGAAACTCTGTTTAGAATGTGAATTTTCAGGTTTGCTAACATGTATTGCGGTCAACATTTGTGTTTTAATACTTTTCATATTTAAGCAGAATATAATAAAGATTTGTACTAAATACTAACTGATGCATGAAGGATCTCTTTGTTACGTTATACAGTTTTGGTAAAGAGCATTTTATTGTACATAATTGCAACATGGCGATTTTTCACTAACCCAGGGCATGTATGCAACAGGGCATCTGTTGTTTAGCGACAAACAGCCAGGCCCTGGGTTTGAATTCCACTGAAAAATGCATCGCATTTTTACTATCAAGCCTGTTTACGAGCAACACACCACATCCTGAAACTGAAAGACTTTGTTTCACTTTCCACAGTTGTACCTTAAATACAGTCTTTGTTTTAATAACGGAACATAATCTTACAACCCCAGTTTTAAAGGCAACAAATAACTTGCTTCACAAATCATAGTTCATTTTATTCAAAAGGTCAGTTCATGTAAAAAACAAAAGCACAAATAACCGAGCAGAGTTTGTACAAGTGTAACCTCGGTTTACCCATCCTGGGTCCTGGCACAATTGCAGTCACACAGGTTAAGCCGATATAAATAAGTCGTGTTGCACATTCTACATTCGAGACCACTTGATAAATATACATAAATCAATACTGGTCACGGACAGCCTGATAAATAGCCACTTGCTTGTTCGATAGGACCAACAGAAATACTGCAATGTCAGAACAATTTGGATAGAAAATGCATAAAAAAGCACTAGATAAAATCAGTAGATTTCAAGAAGTAGGAGGTTAGAGGTTAAAAACTGACAATATTTAAAAAATGTAATTGACACAGATTAACGGCAGGCAATTGCTATTTCAGATTAAACAACTGTAATTTGTGCATTAAAATCTATATAATATTAAAATGTTAGATTTGAATTGAGGAGTAAAAAAAATACAATTTCTATAAATGCTGATTGTGCCCATCAAAAGCAGACTATTTCACGCTGATCTCCTGATAAACCTAAAAAAGCGAATTACGATAATGACAAACCCCACCAAAAAAGCAGAACCGAGTCCTGTCCCTTTGGCAAACCAGAATCTTCAGTTCAAAGTTAAACGGGAAGTGTGATGCCATCATGGTGGAAACAGCACCTTTTTGATGTGCTCAACTGTGGTTGCGTTCAACAGCATAGCGAGATGTTCATTCCCAGGCAGCTCGATCATGTGGACAGGCTGCTTCTGCTGGCCCACCCAGCGTTTGCACAGTGTCGCACTCAACAGGTTGACTGTTCCATCTCCATCCCCGTTGATGACGGTGGGATCTGTGTCTGAGAAATTTGTGTAATTATAGCCCTGAGGTGTGGGGATGCCGCTGCCATAAAGGCAATAGACAGGAACGCCCGGAGGCCGAAGTGCATTGACCAGTGTTTCTGTGTCCTGCCTCATGGCCCAGCCGTCCTCATAGTCGATATCTTTGAAGAAGCGCTGATAGTCTTGGACAGTGTAGCTGGTGTTGGAGGTTGAAACCAGGACCATGTCTTTGGGCCAGGTGTGGGCATAGGGGAAGAGCCAGGCGGTGGAGACGGCCGTACGCTGCTGGGTGCGGATTTTTAGAGGACTGATCAAAGGAACGCAGTCTATGTCACCTGTGATGGAACCGAAACCATCAAATGGTCAAACCAGTGATCGTAAATGGGTTTTAATACACAAGTGCCATGTTTTTAGGGGTTGTTTTTCCATGTAAATATGTGCTAGACAGACATGTTTGCATGTTACACTTGCATGTTTTTGGAAACGCAAAAGTTGTATTTATTTATTTGTATTGTAATTATGGTTTAGTTCATATGGTTCGGAAAAACTTTTATACCATTTTCAAGGTTTTTTCAACATTCTAAAAATAAAATAAACATAACAATGTTTAATATGCACTGTAAAAAATTTGTAGTTTTTTTTAAAGTTTTAAATACAACAGATTACTGAAGTATGTTTTACAAGAAAATACCATTTCAGATTTTCTACTTCAAAATTTCAAGTTTAATTTAATGTGCTGTTTCTTTGTAATTGTAATTTGCCAGCAGTTAAATTCTGAGTGTCCAATTTTTTTGTACGTGTACACATAAAAAAAAAAAAAAGTTTTAACAAATATCATTAATTATATCTGCGCTATAAAAATAAATGACTTGATTCAATTATTACATTGAGTTGACAAACCACATGACAAAAAAGTTTTAAAAATATTAATATAAATATTATAATAAGGAGTTTTGTTAAAGAAATAATTATTAAATAACATTATTAATAAAATCATATTTAATTTGCATAATTATTCAATAATATTTCCTCAGAAATAATAATACTACAAGACTATGACAAAATGTTCTCTTTTTTTTTTAAATGTACATTTTTTCTTCATTATAAAATGAGGACAGTTGTATCACTGTTAGGGCTGCAACAACTAATCGATAAAATCGATTATTATCGATAATGAAAATAATCGACAACGATTCTCATTATCGATTAGTCGGGTCTGCCCACGGTGCACGTCCAACTCCAGCTAAATGACAATAACATTTTTAGATTTAAACAATTTTTTTGACAGATTCCTAAAATATTTGTGTTTTATCTTTATTATGATGTGTGTCTAATAAATTGTTAAGCACTATTTTCATAGCATTCAGTTGACACGTTTGTTTAAAGGACATTGGGCAGAATGTGGAAGTGTTTTTTGTCAAAAAAAAAGAAAGAAATGAGAAGATCCGATTAATCGATTAATCGGAAAAATAACCGGTCAACTAATCGATTATCAAAATAATCGTTAGTTGCAGCCCTAATCACTGTGACAGTTTTGACTTTCTGCCCTCAAAAATATCAGTTCAATTAATTGAATTATAATTCAGAAAATAAAGGTGTATTCAAGCCACTGTATATGTGAATGAATTTTTAATTCATTTTGTATAAATTAATAGAACAAAAATGAGAGCCACATCATTTACCTACAAATCCATTTCCACAAAATCTCCTTCCACAACAAATTTGGCCCATACCTGTTGCCATAACTTTCAGAGTTTTGGCCACTCCAGCCCATGGAGGCCCTAGAGACACAAATGCCTTGATGTACCGGTCCTTCCAAGCTTGTGGCTGGCGATTAAGGAAATAGAGCATGTACATATTCCCCATACTGTGTGCAATGAGAACCACAGGACCTCCAGCTTTATTAGCCATCTCCTCAATCATCTGCTGCAGATGCAAGAAGTACTCCTTATTCTCATCTACAGATAACAGATCAGGAGAAAAACATAAGAAGTTAGACATCAAGAAAAGAGTCCACATGTTCCCCAGAACTTTGTTTGTGTGCACAAACAGATCATGAAGATACTCACTTGGGGCTTTACGCCAGTCATAGGGGGCACCTCGAACATCATCGTCTCTGGTATAACCCCAGTTAACCAATTCTTGTACTATAGTGAAGAAGTACCTGCCTGAAACAGACAAAGCTCTCGTCAAACAACTTTTACCAATCAACACATTAACATAATAAGATAAACACCCAGTTTGCACTCACCCACACACCGTTTACTAGGATCCAGATATTCCAAACTATTGGTCTGTCCAAACCCTGGCACTCTGACATCCACTCCCGGAGGAGCTTTAGTGAGGTGGGTTGTACGATTGTACAGTAGCCTGCAAACAAAATATATGCTGATTATGTATTTGCATATTCAAAACAGGGTATAAAAAGTCATAAGGAGAAAAAGTCAGCTTCCAATCTCAAAAAGTGCACAGCATGTCTATATTTTTACATTTAATAGAGTGCATTAGTGCCAGCCAACTTTTTCAATGCCGTTGCAGCCAGAAGTATTTTGTCTATTCATTTTCTCATAGAGATTTCTTTAAAAAGTCTTTGTTAAAGAGTTATAAGCCATTGACCAAGCCAACCAGCTACTAGGTGAATCACAACATTACAAACTTTTTTTTCAAGCAAAAAAAAAAAAAGGATTTGAAAATTGAACAAAAAGACAAAGGTACAAGAGTGTGTACTTAATGGCTTAGTGAGAGAAAAACTACAATTTTTCAACAAAAAAAAAAAAAAGGATTTGAAAATTGAACAAAAAGACAAAGGTACAAGAGTGTGTACTTAATGGCTTAGTGAGAGAAAAACTACAATTCCATGAAGCATTGCGAATGAAAAATTTAATTTATCATTTAAAGTTGTTATTTATATCTTTGAAAACAATATATTTAAAGTTACTGCACGTTCTTTTGGCAAGATTTGTTAGCTGCAACTCTGATTGGTGGAATTTTCTGTTTAGCATCATGGGTAATGTAGTTTTTTACTACAAATTCGGCTGTTAAATGCGATTTCTTTAAAAATAAGTTAACACACGTGAACAGATGGCTTCAATAAAAGTATATACCACTAATTAACAACCTTGGAACTATAGGTCTGTCCTTAAAGGTTTATAAATTATAATTGAAATTTCCATATGGAAAAAAAATGAATGGCATTTTTACTTCCAGAACCTGAATGTTAAGGTTGTTGCAGAAGAAGGATGCTTGTTTTAGAAAAATGGTATGGATTTAAATTGCTACATCACATGAACAACTTCCGATTTCCGATGCCCTCTTGCCCTTTACCTCATGTTATCAATCCAGCAGTCAATGACCACCGGCATCAGCAGCTCCAGGTTGAGCCATAATGTGAAGTAGTCCTTGGTCTTCTTGTAGCAGATGAAGTGCACTACACTAGGTTTGTCAAGTTTCGCTTCAAGCTGATTCCCAAGATCTCCTGGAACTATGGAGAGAATTAATTAGTCCAGCTAACCAATCACAGCTAATCACAACGAATAAAAATACAAGAGCGATGAATCAAATATTAATGAGTTTTCACAGAAAGCTCAATGAGAAGCACTTCACAAACTGCTATAAATATGATCAAAGAATCACTTATTAAAAACACTTGGCATTATCACTTTTCAAAAGAGATTACATACTCATGACCTACTGTTTAAACATTTATAATCACTAATCTCGGCCAGTTTGGTCTGGTTTGAAGTATTTTAACCTCCCACTACACTTCTAAGTATAGTTTTCTGCAATGTTTGCATGTCTTTATCATCAGTCACCACATCCAGAATTCATTTTTCCCATATTTAACATGACTAAAAAGAATTTTTCGTTCCTGCTATCAGGTGTGAGGTGTCATGTAAATATTGGCAGGTCAAATAGTGTACTTAAAAGTGTACTTAAGATATCGTAGACAATTTTGTAGAAATAATGTACTTAAGCCATCTTTTTATTGCGGAATAATAATGTAGTGTAAATTCAGACACGAAGACAAATCTTTTTACACAAAAACCTGTTGGAAAACCCAGTCTGGCTGTATGATTTCCAGCTAGTAGACAGGCTACCATATTCCCCCAAAAAAAGACACTAGATGGATTTTCCAGCAGAACAATGGAGGTCCCATGGATGACATTTACATTTACTGCTTTTACATTGCGCGTATCTATTTTGACATGCCATATGTATTTTTGTCCCGTGTTAGTATCATTATGTCCATTGCGGCTTCAGAGTGAATCACGCATTCATATGTAGATGTCACTTCCAAAACTTTGCAGCGTGTCATTGGCCGTCGGTTCTTAGCAGCATGAAAATGCCTGGTTCACACCGCAAGCGTGAGCGTGTCAGCGTCACAGCAGCTGCAGTCTCGTGAGAGCATTCATTCACACTGGAAGCGCTTGAACAGCGTCACAGCAGCGGCTACAAAGCTACACATTTCTTTACAAAGACAACTATGAATTTGTTTTTAGAAGTTGGTCAGTTATAAACTTGAATAGTTTCTTAACGCGGGGATTCGCATGTAAATGATAAACAACAAAAACAGCTCCGATCATGTCGTTTCAGTCATACCTTGAAATAGAACGTGCTGTTTTTAATGTTTTGTTTTTAATTTTATACCATACTTTAACCCAAACTGAATAATTAAAACAAGCGTGTTAAAACATGCTTATTCTGTGAATTTTAACACTTGTGTGAAATCATATTTATTTTGTTTATCAAAAGTGTGCTGTCACTTTAATTGAGCGTGAGTGGCACAGCAAAAATAGACTCGGCGCTGAAACCATCACTTCAGTGCTGCTCCTGCTCCAGGTGTGAATGCATATGGCAAGCCGTTTTAGCTTAAAATATTCCAAGCGTTACTCGTCGTAATTGCATTTTTACTAGTAACAATTCAATTAGAGAGCTCTACAATTAAATTCTTACTAGTAACAATGCCAATTAGAGAGCTCTCTAAATCTATTTTAACTAGTTATAAATACAATAAGAGAGCTCTCTAGTTTAATTAGAGCTCTGCAATTGCATTCTTACTAGTAAGAACTGAATTAGAGAGCTCTCTAACTGTCATTGTTACTAGTAAGAATTGAATTGTAGAGCTCTCTAATTGAATTGTTACTAGTAAAAATGCAATTACGACGAGTAACACTGGGATTATTATAAGCTAAAACGGCTTGCCATAGAATGCACTCATTTGTTAACATGCACGCCGAAAAAAATATGAGCTGCTCACGCTTGCAGTGTGAAACCCCGCGTTGAACAAAAACTCCGGGGTTTTGAGCGGTGAGCGGATTCTAACTTAAACACCTCTGATTGGCCATTGCGTTCAAGAGATCAACAAACATCTCTGTTTGGCTGCATCTCTCATCGCAAAAACGCGCTGTAAATAGGAACATTTCGCCTGCTCCAGAGCTCAAACTCAAAAACTCAATGGAGCGTTTGCTAAATCTGTTTAGCCAATATTATATCATTACAGTAGGCCTATCAACTGAGGGTGCTACTGCTTTCATTTCAGGGTGCTTATATTTAAAATTAACTTTGTGATGTTTTTTTTTTACCCATGTTTTAATTTTTGTAACAAAAAATTATTTGTGATATTTGGCGGACCCCCAGTACCGCTGCGTACCCCCGGTTGAAGACCCTTGCTCTAAAACACTTCAAAGTATATTATACTGTTCATATGACAAAGAACATTGTATTAGGCTATTATTTATTTGTGTTTTAACGCCATTTCAGCAACAATGGCTACATTCATGGCAACATTAACAATATCATTTCAACACATAATTTACAATAGGCTAATATAACATTTTCTTAAGAAACAATCTTTATACTTTATATTACATTATTATACATTTACATTATATTATAAAAACATACAAGAAACAACAATAGTACAATGTTTCAGTTTAATCAGTGATAAACATTCAGGAGACATGGTATTACTACAGTGCCATGTCAAAACACGGTGACACTGATCTATTATATAATAGAGATTATATAATTTTATAGATCAGTGTGATACCAGTACTTTTAGATAGTTTGAAAAGAGCGTATATAATTCTTACTGTATAAAATGTAGCCGTAAATGTCATAATTGGCCTTTGTGGAATAAAAAATTAAAAAAAACACAAATTTGGCTGTTTTACTATGACGGGTGTTGTGTAATATTCGGTTCCTGTGAAAAACTGTTCCTGTGGGTGGAGTTCACGTGAATATTCATTAGTTCCCCTGTTGTGGGCGTGTCCTTGAAACAACGCACAAACAAATGGAGCTGAAAATATTAGTGCACGCTCCTCAAATCGCTACTTGTTTAATGGATTATTTTGAACAGGTAATGAAGTGTGTTAATGTTAAGCATTGAAGCATTAATTGCAACAGTGTCAAAACAATGCAGTTTGTGTAATATGATAAATCGTCTGTAAGCTGTTTTGCTTGATTGATTACAGGCACACAGCAAAACAATAAGCGAATAACATATGCTAACCTTGGATAATATAGTTTCTTATTTTTTGATGTGTTTAACTTTTTATACATTTCATTTGTGGGGCATTAATTGTTGTTTGAATAGTTTGATTAGCCTATAGTTAGGCTACTGGTGACTATTACTGCAGTGTGTTCACAACAATGCTTGAAACAAATATATCTGTCGCCTAATAAATATAGCTATAAGCTAGATATCCTGTGTCATTTATAAAATCTTGTTTAGTTTGTATATAGCCAGTGTTTCTGTTACCTAAATAAGCTACATACATACTGAGAACAATTTTTCTTGCAGTTAAAATGTTAATATTGTAATCATTATAATTTGTAATTGATTACATAATACAGTGCATAAACCTTAAAGCATTGTTCTGATGCAGTCTTCTTGGACATAGGTCAGCAGCTACTCCAAGAATATTGTTTATAAATTTGGATAAGAAATCATATGTCTCATCATCACCAATGTTATAATATGGCTTTGATTTTATTTTTTATATTCATCATCATGTAAAGTCACTGTCTGTTTTAGATTGGACGAGAGAGCTGAAGTCACTGATCATTGTATGAACTGGACATACATGGAGGCTGTTTTCATCGAGTGCCAATAAATATCTCAGACACTCACTTAATTTTGCATTGCTTCATTCCACATGCATACTTTCACACTTTCCTTGTCTTTTCAATTTGAGCTATATTCGTAAAGCAATTACTTCTGTACTTGTCATAGTAACATTTAATGAATGTTACTAATATTTATGTGATCTACAATATAATTTTTTGAGTATAATTTTAAACAGTAAAAATAAAACACTTACTAAAAAAGATAACATGTTATTTGTTAACCTGCATGCCATGTTACTATTAACCCACATCAGAGAACTGTGAACGTTAAAGTGTGTTGTTAAATTATTGAAATATTAACTTTGAGAGGAGACAGGAGAATAGAGTTTGGCTGACAAAAACATTTGGGTTTCATTGTATGTAATTGTTGTAAAATGTGAAAAACTGTTTTGAATAAGATGTTCAAATGTTAAACATTATTAACACAATGGATCATGAAATTTTATGTTTTC